GTAACAATTTGTTTAAGCACTTTTGAATAACATTTTGGCAAATTATTGTACTGGAAGAATTTTCATACAAATGTTAAACAAATTTAGTGTATGACGTCTTAAAGCCTAAAGTGATATTAAAGGCTTTTTTTTTTTTTTTTTTTTTCTCTAAAACTTGCTCTGTGCAGTGGTTTTGCACAGAGCAGCACCAATCCTCATCTCCAGTTCCCTGCCGGCACTCATAGCTCCTCCCTCCAAGCGGCTTGCTCACACAGCTGTGGCTCAGCCCCGCCTCCTCAGGATGGAGCCAATGGCTCCTGCTGTTGCCTGAGCCAATGGGGAGGGGGAGACCCCTGTGCCAATTGCTGGATCACAGTGGGGCTCAGGTAAGTATAGGGAAGGGGGGGGGGGAGGCCCTGGGCCCTGCACATAGAAGGGCTTTTTACCTTCATGCATAGAATGCACAAAGGTTAAAATAAACCTTGAGCCTTTACAAGTACTTTAATGTGTTTGCATTAGTCTAAAATGTTTAGGCATCATTCTACCCGCATTCAATCAAGTGCTGTGCCCCGTCTTCAGCTCTTCTCCCCCATTTCTCTGGTCTCACTGGTTTTGAGGCAGCAGGAGTTATTGGCTCCTGCTGTTGGAAGACTGTGATAAGGAGGTGGGGGGCCAAGTCTGTGTGTGTCAATAGAAGCCGACTGCAAAGAATCTTTCTATGGAGGGCCTTGGCTAGAGGTTAAAATGCCCCATGTTGTTGGGTACACTGGGGAGCTGGCCTGCTGCTCAATGCAGCACAGTCCAGGTCTCAGCAGTTGTGTGCACACTTCGCAGTGCTCAAGTCAACAGCACTTATGCTCCCTTTAAAAATGAATGGCCTGCCTTAATGCATGGTAATGCAGCATGTAAATGGGCCAAAGTGTTAGTGGCTTTAAACAAACAGGTTTTCTGTTCTGCATTATTGCCTCATAAGGAGGGGAGGCAGCAAGACTGAGGCAAAGTTCACACTAGTTTCCCTGTGGCTACATTTCATTTGCACAGTCCCTGCACCTTTTCTAAAATCTCAGCTACAAGGTGATGGCAGTGTGCTGTGTGTCCAGCATGGCAGAACGCACTGGTCTTCAGTGTGGTGGTGCCATTAATGAACTTGAGATACAGGCACATTTTAAAAGCCCCTGCCCCCCCCCCCCCCTACTTTTGAGTTGAGATTTGTCACCGATATTAAATGGTGAAGTCTTTTATACTGGGATAGTCAACTGGAGAAAATGGGTTTAATTTTCTTCTGCACTTGGGAAAACACTCTTGCCTGAAGTTTTTTCAGGACCTTGCTTACAAGGACATCACCGTTGGAGAAATGATGGTCCAATAAATAAAATGCAGGTGATGACCTGTAAAGACTGTTACCCCTTCTGGAAACAGTTTAGTAGGTGATCCCAGTTTCAAATATACTTTTTAGTGGGTTTTTTTTTTGCATATAAAAGGCATATTTTATACCTAAACTAGTGTGGTTTTTAAATCTGTCTCTATAGCATTGGAATATGTACTACTGCTTTCTTGGGGGCACTTCCATTTCATGTCCCAGGTGTCAGCAGAAAAGCCCTCAGTTGGAGACCATAAAAATCATTTATCCTTTCCCCAAACTAGCAAAAAAGTCTTGCTTGTCTGGGGTTGTGCTCTGAAAGGGCTTGCACATATTATTCACATTGGCTAATACTTCTGAGCTAAAAACCTGAAGCCGAGTGTCCGGTTTTTAGGTCTCATTGGGGTTTATTTCTAAAGGCAAATACTGTACAGTTGCACTCTGCAAGTGCAGTTGCTCCAGACCTTGGTAAAGGAGGTAAAGGTCCACTCTACAAAGAGTGCCCAATCGCATGCAAGGAAATAAAGTGTTAGCTTGCACATGATTGGATGTTAAATGAGCAGAAGCTCTGGAGCAATTGTGGAGCACATCTGCACTTTGCAAAGTGCAGTTATCTGTGTTTTTAGTAAAATCAACCACATTGAATCTTATTTGTCTATGTACCTTACTATTTTTATTTTTTTTTTCTTAGTCACCATGGCAAATGTACAAGAGAAACTCCTTTCTTGCGTTGCAAAAGAGAAGAAAAGTACTCCCAAAAACAAAGTAACAATTGTAGGAGTTGGCCAAGTTGGCATGGCCTGTGCAGTCAGTGTCCTTCTGAAGGTACGTGCTAAACATAGCTCAGCTATTGTCAAACATGTTTGTGTCCTACAGAGAAGTGACCTTCATCTAGCCATATCGGACTTTGCAGAGCTTTAACTGTTGCTAGGCTGCTGAATTCCTTGGATGCTGACGTACATTCAGGGTTTTGTAGACTGTAGTGGAAACTGGTCTAACGGCACTCCAACTGGATCCTGTGTAGAACTGCTTTGTTGGAGGCCCTACACATTTTAACATGCATGTGTTTTAAAAAAAAAAAAAAACAAAAAAAAAAAAAAAAAAAAACCTACAATAAGGCTTTGCTTCAATTTTGCAGGGGATTCTGCCTATGTGCAGGTTTTGCAAGACAAACCCATGGTGCAACCAGCTGGCACACAGTTGCTGCATGGTTCTACTACAGTGGTTGCGTCTTGCAAACCGCACTGCCTGTCAGCATGATATACTGTGGTAAACGTGCAGCAGTGTGAAGCACAATGCTAATATGTACAGACCTGAGCAGCAAACATTTGTTGGCTTAAGAGTGATTAAAAAAAACCAGGTACAGTGTTTGTCCCTGTGAATCCTACCTTAAAATGTCATTACATATGATGGAACTGCACCCTTCCCTCAGTGGTAGACCCTGCAAAATGTGCAGATTCTAACCCTGCTTCATGCTGGAAGAGGCAGCATCAAGTGCCTATGATCTGATATTTTTAAAGGACTTGCTAAAACCTGGCACAGCTCTGCATAGTAACAAATGTTTTTTTATCTTCAGCTTGTTCAGTTAAGCTCTAAAAAGAAAAGCTGGATGGTTGTCATGCAGAGATGCTCCAGATTCTGTTTGCTCAAGTATTGGTAAATTTTTCTCCAGTGCCTTTTTAAGTTTGTCATTGACAATGTGAGACCAGTGGATTAAACCTGAATCTTGATTAGGAACTGGCTGATGTGCTTGCCTTGGTTGATATCTTGGAAGATAAACTGGAGGGAGAGAAGCTGGACTTGCAACATGGAAGCCTGTTTCTTAAAACTCCAACAATTGTAGCAAACAAAGGTAGGTTTTTCACCAAAGACTTCTTGTAACCACTTTAGAGTGTTCAATACTTGTTCGTTTGCCATATTTTTGTCTCGTTACAAAAAATAGTTTATCTATACTACAGTATACCTACCCGCCTAGGCTATGAAGAGAAGATGTTCTGTAGCTTAAGATCAGAAGTATTTGGCCTGGGGTTACAATGCTGCTCCTCCATAGAATCTATGCAGTGATGTTACCCTAAGACTGGAAGTGTTAAAATCACCAGGTGAAAACAGAGGACAAACTGTTGCAACCACCAGGATAGGCCAAAAAAAGCCCATTAGTACACCCCCCTATTCTAAACTGTTAATAAATTATGTGACGTTCTTTACCTTCTCCAGCTATACTGCTCAGCACCAACAGGACAGCTGGCTGACAAGCTAACACGCATGTGCAAAATGTTTAGTTCAATCTATGTAGAGTACTTTATATTGAAGTCTCCCTCCTAGGTTTTGTTACTAGCTGTGGCTGCTCTTCACATGTCATCTTTTTCCCTCTATCCACAACAGCGGATAAATTGATCAGATCCTTTAGCAATACTACAGGGGCATTCCAGTACCAGGGCACTGGAAATGCTAGCCTTAAGGATCCCAGAGACTTTCCTTGCCACCTCTGGGAGCGCTCATTAACTTGACTCTGAACTATACTCCTTCAGAGGGGTTCCTGCAATGGTGGTTACACCCTCAAAAGAGCAGACAGCCTCTCTGTAGAATTTCTGCTAGTTCCTTTTTGGAGTATCCTGAGTCTCACCCCATCAAAGACATGCATGGTCTGTCTTCTGAGTGACTTTGGTCTTGGTTTCCATTCCCCGATAGGCACACAGCAGTTCAAACAGTCAGCCCAGTCTGGGGGTCTGTGAAGAAACACCGCGCCTCTAACTGTGTACTATGAAGGTATTTAATAGAAAGAGGTAGTAACTCACATCTTAGAATATTTTGTGGTACACTTGCATACATGTAACTTGACTGTTTCCACCATAATGTGGGATTCCAAAATACTCATGACTTTGCTGAAATCCTATACAAGAGAAGCTGCTCTACTCTAGGCCAATAACTCGAGTATGCTAAGACCATAATAAAGTGCAATACTGCTTGTTGGAGGAACCATTATCAACTGGTAGAGCTGTGAAGATTAAAATTGGTCTCACTTCCTGTTTCTGTCTGCAGACTACTCGGTAACAGCTGACTCTAAACTTGTTGTGGTCACTGGTGGAGTCCGTCAACAGGAGGGAGAGAGCCGTCTGAACCTTGTACAGAGAAATGTCAATGTCTTCAAGTTCATTATCCCTCAGGTGGTGAAATACAGCCCTGATGCCACGATCCTTGTGGTATCCAATCCAGGTAAATGGATGTTGCCATAAATACAGTGTACAGTTCTATCTTGTATTGGGCAAAATGTGGTAAAATTGAATGGCAGGTTTGTTTGAGCACTTGTGTGATAATTACAAAATGCTACTTTCTTTGCTACTTTAGTTGTACTTTACTTTCAAGAAAGCAGCATATTTGAGTAGCGGTGCTAATTGCATTCTGCACTAGCACTATGCAGAAAAGGATGGCACATGGTGTTGCATTCCTGTTCTATTGCATGTGTAGAAGTAAAAATATTGGGCGAGTCCCTGGGGGAATTTTTTTTTTTTTTTTTGGGGGGGTGGCAGCACACTGGTAGTTGACTGTTCAGTTTTAAACTCACTGGTGACTTACAAGTTGTAAGCTGATCACTTGAACCAATTTTTTTTTTTTTTTTTTTTTTTTTTTTTTTTCCCCCCCCCCCCCTCTTGTAGTTGATATCATGACATATGTAACATGGAAGCTAAGTGGCTTGCCACAGAACAAAGTCATTGGAAGTGGAACTAACTTGGACTCTGCAAGGTTTCGCTACATGATTTCCCAGAAACTTGATATCAACACTTCAAGCTGCCATGGCTACGTTTTGGGTGAACATGGGGATTCCAGTGGTAAGTGTCAAAATGCTGATTTACCTAACATATTGGGTCCAGTCATAGCAATGTGAAGCCTGAAGCAATACAGACCAAGCAACTTCTGTTAGACAATGATGCTATATTAGGGGCAGGTCCTCTTGCGGATTTGGCATGTAAGCACAGTAGCTCAGATAAGGGTAGCTTGCTACATAATGGGTAAAGGGAGGGTGAGGGCAGTAAAAACCAAGCTAAAGGGAAGACATCATGCACTCTAACATTGTGGCAATTTCCTTAATGTATCAATTTTAACAGTTCCCATTTGGAGTGGAGTAAATGTTGCCGGAGTCACCCTTCAGTCACTCAATCCTGCTATTGGAACTGACAAGGATCCAGAGAACTGGAAAAACGTCCACAAAGAGGTGGTTGCCAGGTAAGTCTTCCTGAATTCCGAGATCTGCACTGGTAAGGAAAATGTGTATTTTGAAGTAGGGGAGTGTTTGTCTGTGTGGGGCTTTTCCATTGATGGTAGATGATTACTTTTGAGCTCTGGTACACTTTTCAAAGTACACCTATCCTGAAAATAATCTGTTAAGGAACACATAGCAGAGTTGAGCACAACTTAATGGTCGTGCAGTGCTGGCATGTGAATGTGCTTACAGCCTCATAGCCATATAGCTGCACTGTTGCAGCTACAGTGCTGATTGCTGAAGGGGAATCTGCGCTGCATAAATCTTGCTTCATCCATTCAGTATTTGTGCATTGTGAACCTGTCGTCCTGCTGCTTTGTGAATATTCTACCAACCATCAGATCACCAGTACGAGAGGGGGAGGAGATCAGTACTACAGGCAATACTGAGTCCTACTAGTCCTTCGTTTTGTTGTGTTTTTTGTTTGTGTTTGTGTGGTTTTTTTTTTGTTTTTTTTTTTTTGAAGCTTTGCCCAAAAGTTGCACCTCAACAGAAAGATTAGAGGCCCTGAATGCCAACACCACAGTATGTGTTTGGGGTGGTAAGCCACAGCTCAATGGCCTGTTTTTCCTGTCCTTTTGACAGCCCTAAAATTATTTTTTTTCCCTTATTTAAGAATGTTGGTATATTCAGTTGCCAACTGCAGTTTATGGTGAAAAACCCTATAGGGACAGTGTAGTATAAACTTATAGCGCCCCATCCCTCTGTGCGCACACACAAGTGACCACATAAAAGTCACGCATGCATATGTGAACGCAGCATGCATGTGAGGTATTGCCATGAACATTACAACAGCGATAATGCCAGCACTAGACCTCTGTAACGTGTTACACATTTTAAAGTGTCTGCTATAAAGGTTAAGGACTGTAGTTTGTCAACATTCCACAACCATACGCAATTTTACCAATGTCCTAGTTTACAAAAACCTGGGTATAGTGTGTGGGGTTTTTTTTTTTTTTCTCCCCAAAATTGTTTGAAAAACTGCTATGCAAATACCATGCGACATAAAAAAAAATTGCAAGAATCACCATTTCCTTCTCTGGGATCTCTGCTAAAAATGTTTGGGGGCCCCACTTGCAGTTTCCGCACATGCAATACTGCTAAACTGATTTAAATTTTTTTTTTTTGCCCTGATTTAGTAAGTGTTGTGGCACTTGGCATGTTAAAAAAAAAAAAAAACGGACCTCTAGCGGCCTCAATACAGCACAATATTGCTTGAGGCTGCATTGATACTACTTCAGTAGTACCACCATCTTATGATTGAGACTGTTGTCCAAAAGACCTTGTGCTGGCACAACAGCCAAGAAATCTCTTCTTGCAGTCTTCACAGCAATTCTGATTTAAACCTCTTGGTTAAAATCATGCCAAAAATGATCCTGTTTTTGAAGGGGTGGGGGAGAAGAGCAAGATACTCTTGCATCATCTAAGGTTTAATTCTGTCATTGTAGTGCTTATGATGTGATCAGACTAAAGGGATACACCAACTGGGCTATTGGCATGAGCGTGGCTGACCTGGCAGAGTCCATTCTCAAGAACCTGAGCAAAGTCCATCCTGTTTCAACCATGGTAAAGGTAAGCAAAATGTGGTGTCAAACTTTAGTGATCAATCTTGGAAAATTGTAACCATTTTGATCACATCCTTGGCTGTAATCTGTCTACTTGTGATGCAGGTGATGGCTCACTATCTCAATGCTGTATCAATTAACTGGCACATAGTAAACTGCTGCTATATGGGATTGGTGGGGGGTAGTCATTAAATTTCTTACTGGAAAGTAACATGCACACAATACAGAACTCTCAATTCTTTTTCGTATCAAGGGGATTTGTGGGTAGGTTATTAACCTGGCTTTCATCTCCTTTTCAGGGCTTTTATGGCATTGAGAATGAAGTGTTTCTGAGTCTCCCATGTGTCCTGAATTCACAAGGTCTAGTTCAAGTTGTGAACCAGAAACTGACAGATGACGAGAAGGCTCAGCTGCAGAAAAGCGCAGAGACTCTGTGGAACATCCAGAAAGATCTCAAAGACCTCTGAAGTCCTAGCAAAATGTCATTACTGTCCACACACACCTTGCCTTTCCAAGAATCTTAGGTTTATGTACACAGGTTTATAAAGTAACAATAGTTGTCAGAATAAAATCTGATGGAACTGAACTGCTTGGTGTGCTTGAATCTCATTACAAATTGGCAAAGCACATTAGTGTCACAACATGGCCACTTGTATTAATAGAACTAATCCAGCTTAATGAGAACCTTGAATAACTTCACCCAGCTGTCACCAGAATCTAGTTTTGTATTTTAACAAACCTTTGTACTCCTGTGTGGGGGTTTCTTCTTCTCCTCCTTCTCCTGATTGTAACTGGTCATTCTGTATCTCATTTGGTGTTTTTGATTCACTGGCTAAGCATTGGTACCAAAACGCTATCAAATAAGATGGCACTGTTAAGTCCAGTACCAATATATACACTACATTGGCAGAAGTATTGGGACACCCCTCCAAATCATTAGATTCTGGTGTTCCAATTGCCTCCATGGCCACAGGTGTATAAAATCAAGCATCTAGGCATGTGCCCTGATTCTACAAACATTTGTGAAAGAATGGGTTGTTCTCATGAGCTTGGTGAATTCAAGTGTGGTACTGTGATAGGTTGCCACCTGTGCAATAAGTCCATCTGTGACACTTCATTACTGATGAATATTCCATGGCCAACTATTAGTGGTATTTATAACAGTGGAAGTAGCTGAGAATAGCAACAAAGTGGTAGGCCACATAAAATGACAGAGCGGATCAGCACATGCTAAAGCACAGTCACCAACTGTCTGCAGAGTCAGTGGCTAAAGACCTGCCAAATTTGTGTGGCTGTCAGAGCTCCAGGTATGACCAGAGGTATGTGAACTGATGCAGGGAAACGCAGGCTTCAAATATGTTATAAAACAATATAATTTATTAATACTAACAATAAACACGGTGCAATACTGAAACATAACACAGTGCAAACTAACCAAACCACCCACAGATAACAATACATACGATGCAAGCATAGTCAGGCAGGCCGGGTCAATAACAATCGGGCAGGCAGAGAGTAGTCAGGTCACGAGCCGGGTACAGCAACTAACGGGCAGGTAGGTACAGGGGGTCAGGCAGAGAATGGTCGGGGTCACAAGCCAGGGATCAAACAGGAGAAGTCAGCAGAGGTCTGGATCAGGCAGGGTCGGCAACAAATCAGTCACAGGAACAGGAACGCAGGTAACAAGATACAGGGGCCCATGGAAAAACACACAAAGGCCCAGACTGCAGGTCTGGCCATCCCTTACATACACCTCTGTAATCAGCTTCAGGCGTTTGGCTGACTGCAGGGTTGAGTCTCTGATTGCTGAGAGCACCCGCTGGCCAGTCCTGGTACTGCAGCCAACAAGGCAGTTGAGTCCCACCATTACTGGCAAGTCCATTCCTGACAGTGGCCTTCAGATTAGCACTACAGTGTGTAGAGTTCATGGAATACGTTTCTATGGCAGAGCTGCTGCATCTAAGGTTTATGCAATGCAAAACATTGGATGCAGTGATGTAGAACATGTCACCACTGGACTCGAGTGATGAATCCACTTCTGTCAGGCCATCCAATGGACACATCTGGGTTTGACAATTGCCAGAACTGTACTTGCCTGACTGCATCATGTAATGTTTGGTTGGGGGGGATTATGGGGTGTCCCTTAATTCCAGTGAAGGCATCAGCATACCAAGACATTTTGGACAATTCCATGCTCCCAAATTGTGGGAACTGTTTGTTTGGGGATGTCCCCTTCTTGTTCCAATATGACTGACACCAGTGCACAAAGCAAGGTTTGTAAAGACACAAGGATGAGTGAGTTTGGGGTGGAGGAACTTGACTGGCCTGCGGAGTCCTGACCTCAACCCGATGGAACACCACTTTTTTTTTTTTTTTTGGGGGGGGGGGGGGGAATTTTAAAGCAGACTGCACACCAGGCCTTGTCCAATATCATTGACTGACCTTATAATTGCTCTTCTTGAAGAATGGTCAAACATTCCCGTGGACAGCCTTCCCAGAAGAGTTGAAGCTGCAAAGGGTGGGCCAACTCAATAATGAACCCTATGGGCTAAGACTGGGATGCCATTAAAGTTAATGTGTGAAAGGCAGGCGTCCCAATACATTTGGCAATATAATGCATCTTCTCCCACTTTTACTACAATTATAATTGTAAACTGAAATTTTAGTCGTGGCCATGGGACTTCCATCCACTGCACATTAGTTAATGTACTATTGGACATTGTTAATAAACTTAACAGAGATCTAGGAACTTTGACTGCTATGGTCATCTTCTCCACTAAAGAGACCACTGCCCAGTACCATCTGGCCTTAAAGACCAAGGAAGGACATTAAAGGAGAAATTCTTTTTCATAACAAGCTAGCTGTCAAGTTTAAAGAAAAACATGGCTCTACCCACCTGGCTCCATCACTGATTCAGTTTTCTGCACATGAAAAACAAAGTACCAACATGCCTCCTGATCACATCCTGGATGTGATTAAATGCATAGGGGCAGGAACTTCTGGTTCATGGGCTCATTCCACTCTTGGGAATGCAGGCCAGGTCCCACGCTCCTCAGAATGGCAGTGATACACATTGGTGGATGACTCCAGTGTGCTAGATGGGGCACTGAACATATATTTATTTGTGTAGTACACTCACCGAACAAATCTCAGACTTTGTAGAAGAAATTTTAAAACCATTAGTCAAGAATACAGCTAGCTTCTGCAAGACACAACTGACTTTCTGAACAAGATCATCAACATACAGCAATTACCATCTAACACACTTCTAGTGACTATGGATGTAATATCCCTCACAAGGATGGATTAGCTGTATGTCACAGATCCTTATCATCCTCACCAAACCATAAATACACTGCTGAGGATGTTACACACTCATTGAATTCATACTTACACACAACTACTTTGCCCTCAATAAAGACATCTATCTTCAATGTATGGGTACTGCGATGGGAAGTAAAATGGAACCCCAATATGCCATTTTATTTATGGCTGACCTGGAGGAAAAATTCCTGAACAGCATGGAACAAAAACCATACAGATACTATCGCTATATTGATATTTTCATCATATGGACAGAAGGTGAAGAATACCTAAAACAATTTTACTCATTGATCAACACTTTTCATCAATCAAACGAAAAATGGAATACTCAAACATACACGGCAACTTCCTAGACACCACAGTATACATCAGGGATGATACGCTTCACACCTCAATATACAGGAAACCCACTGACAGATGCAACTACCTCCACAGTTCTAGCTTCCACCCCCAACACAGGAAACGTGCCATCATACACAGTCAGGCCATTAGATACCACCAAATATGTTCTGACCCAAGAGACAGAGATAAACATCTCAGGACACTAGCAGACGTCTTCCATAAGAAAGGTTACAAGGACAAAGCTATCAACACCAGCATAAACACAGCCTTGAGAACCCAAAGAGAAAATCTACTTCAGTACAAAGAGAAAAAAAAACAAACAACCGTGTACCTCTAGTAACCACATACAACCCAGCACTAGAGGGAATAAGAAAAATAATCAAAGATTTACAACCCATCATAACAGAGGATGGAACTCTGAAAGAAATATTCCAGCAACCCCCAAAACTGGCCTTCAGACAACCCCCCAACCTCAGAAATAAACTAATCAGTAGGAAACTTCCTTCTGATTATGATGTCACAAATAATGGAAGCAAACCCTGCAATAAGAAACGCTGCAAGCTGTGCAACCAAATCAATCCATCCAAAAAGTGTCAGACACTCGAAAGGGATCTTCAATATCTCCAGATCATACAGCTGCACCTCCAGTAATGTTGTGTACCTTATCCAGTGCAGAAAATGTAACAAAGGATCCTATGTTGGCGAAACAGGACAGAAGTTGCAAACAAGGATGAATTTGCACAGACATACCATCAAGGAACATAAAGAAGATGACTTTTGCACACCTGTGGGACACCATTTCGCACAACCAGACCACACTTTGGGAGACCTCAATATTTTAGTTCTTAAAGGAAATTTCAAATCCATTCAGGAAAGATAAACTTTTGAACTAAGAATGATAATTCTATTTGACACAAGAGATAAGGGCCTTAATTTGGACATGGGATTGCTCAATTATTATCCAACATTTTTATGACTATCACCTCAAGCATCACTGCCTCTGTGAGTGTTGTCTCCCCCCTCCCCAGACTTTGCTTTTGCTGTGTCTTATCTTATCTCTGTTTTCCTTTTTTTTTTTTATTCCAACTCCAAAACATCTCTTCTAACCCTTTGTAATCAGTACTGCTTTGTCCTGAAGAAGGGGACACTCCCCAAAAGCTTGTCCTTAAAATTGCTTGTTAGTGCAAATAAAAAAAGTATCACGGACAGTACTCAATTGTTTGGGTTTCCTACCACACTCCAAAAACATGCTGGTAGGTTAATCTGGTTCTTGTCTAAATTGCCCTACTATGTGTATGAATGTGAGCTAGGGACCCTAGATTGTAAGCTCCTGGAAGGCAGGGACTGCTGTTAATGTATAATATCTACGTAAAGTGCTGCATAAATGGTAGCACTACATATGTGCTTATAATAAATGATACAGCACATGGGTTAAAGTCAGCAGACATAATACCTACTAGCAGCACTAGGGTCATCAGTCTGAATCCCAACCACAGAATTTCCTGCCTGGAGTTTGCATGTTCTCCCTGTGCCTGCGTGGGTTTCCTCTGTAAACTTTGGTTTCTTCCCACACTAAAAAGATATGCTGGTAGGTAAATTGGATGAATATGAGTTAAGGACCTTGGATTGTAAGCTCTTTGAGGGCAAGGACTAATGTTAATGTATAAGATTGTAAGCTCGAAAGAGCAGGGCCCTCGAACCCCTCGTGTTTTGTCTTGTTATTGTATTGTCTCATGTACTGTCCCCACTATAATGTACAGCGCTGAGCAAACCTTTTGGCACTATATAAATACTGTATAATAATAATAATATGTATAGCACTACATAAATTGATGCAGCTGTATAAGTACCTGTAATAAATAAAATAAATGATGCAAGAGCTCGTCAGAGACTGCAGGCCTGAAACAAGAGATAATGGATAGACTGAGGGAAGGTAAGCCAGGATGGAGCCCACCCCATCTAAAAAGGCACAGGGGTGTACTGGAAACCCAGCATACAGCACAATGACAGCTAAGATGTCCAGTGCACCCCTCACCACTATATCAACAGAACAAATGGCAATTTCCACAACCTATAACTGGCCTTTGTGGCAACAAGCACATGAAAGGGTGGTGCATGTCAAACAGCAAAAAATTCCAGCCCAACTTACCAACCAGCCTGCAATCAACCAAATTATCCTGCCTAACAGTTAACGTTAAAAACATGGCTTTAGTTTGCGCACATTTGCTAATACATTCATAAGCCGCAGAGCCTCTTCCCGACACCCCAGTATCTGTAGTTCCTAACTAAATTTTGAGAGCATCCATAGCAGAAGCACATGTATAACAATGGATAGATTGAGGGCAGGTAAGCCTGGAAGAAGCCCACCCCTCCTTAAAGGCACTGGACACCCAGCATACAGCACAATGGCAGCTAAGGTGTCCAGGGCGCCCCTCACCAATATATCAACAGAACCAACGGCAACTGCCCCAACCTAGAACTGGCCTTTGCTGCAAGGAACACATGGAAGGGTGACATATATCAAACACCAGAGGCAAATTCCCAGCCTAACTTACCAACTTGCCTGCAACCAACTGAAATGCTATGGAGGCTCTCATAATTTATAGTGTTAGGAACTGCAGAAACCAGGGTGCCGTGAAGTGGCTCTGCAGCTTACGCATGGATTTGAAAATGTGTGCAAATGAATCCTGTTTTCAACGTGAACTGTTAGGATGATTCGGTTGGTTGCGGGTTCGCTGGTAAGTTGACATGCGTCACCCTTCCATATGCTCCTTGCTGCAAAGGCCAGTTATAGGTCGGGGCTGTTGCCATTTGTACTAATGGTACAGGAGATAGTAGAGAGACTGCAGCCATGATACAGGAGATGGTGAGAGACTGCAGCCATGATACAGGAGATGGTGAGAGACTGCAGACATGGTACAGAAGATGGTGAGAGACTGCAGACCATGATACAGGAGATGGTGAGAGACTGCAGACATGGTACAGAAGATGGTCAGGGACTGCAGACATGATACAGGAGATGGTCAGAGACTGCAGACATGATACAAAAGATGGTCAGAGACTGCAGCCATGATACAGGAGATGGTGAGAGACTGCAGCCATGATAGAGGAGATGGTGAGAGACTGCAGCCATGATAGAGGAGATGGTGAGAGACTGCAGACATGATACAGGAGATGGTGAGAGACTGCAGACATGATACAGGAGGTGGTCAGAAACTGTGAACATGGTATGAGAGATGGTCAGAGACTGCAGACATGGTACAAAAGGTTGGTCAGAGACTGCAGGCATGATACAAGAGATGGTCAGAGACTGCAGACATGGTACAGAGATGGTGAGAGACTGCAGACATGATACAAGAGATAGGTGAGACTGAGACATGATACAAGAGATGGTCAAGACTGCAAACATGGAACAGGAGGTGTCAGAAACTGTGAACATGGTATGAGGAGATGGTCAGAGACTTTGACATGGTACAAAAGTAGATGGTGAGAGATGGTCTGCAGACATGGTACACAAGATGGTGAGAGACTGCAGACATGATACAAGAGATAGTGAGACTGAAGATATGATACAAGAGATGGTCAAAGACTGCAAACATGGAACAGGAGATGGTCAGACTGTGACATGGCACAGGAGATGGTCAGAGACTGTAGACATGGTACAAAGATGGTGAGAGACTGCAGACATGGTACAGAAGATGGTCAGAAACTGCAGACATGATACAAGAGATGGTAAAGATATGCACAAGACATGGTCAAAGACTGCAGGTGTACAGGAATGGTCACTGCAGACATGGCACAGAAGGTGGTCAGAGACTGTAGACATAGTACTAAAGATGGTGAGAGACTGCAGACATGGTACAGAAGTTGGTCAGAGACTGCAGACATGGTACAAGGAGATGGTCAGAGACTGCAGACTGGTACAGGAGGGTTCAGAAACTGCAGACATGATACAGGTATGGTCAGAGACTGAAACATGGTACAGGATGATCAGAGACTGCGAACATGGTACGGGAAATGGCCAGAGACTGTGAACATGGTACAGGAGACGGTCAGAGACTGTGAACATGGTACAGGAGACGGTCAGAGACTGTGAACATGGTACAGGAGACGGTCAGAGACTGTGAACATGGTACAGGAGATGGTCAGAGACTGTGAACATGGTACAGGAGATGGTCAGAGACTGTGAACATGGTACAGGAGATGGTCAGAGACTGTGAACATGGTACAGGAGATGGTCAGAGACTGCAGACATAATACAAGAGATGATCAGAGACTGCAGACCTACTACTGGAGATGATCAGAGACTGCGAACATGGTATGGTAGATGGTCAGAGACTGCGAACGTGGTATGGAAGATGGTCAGAGACTGTGAGCGTGGTACGGGAGATGGTCAGAGACTGCGAACGTGGTACGGAAGATGGTCAGAGACTGTGAGCGTGGTACGGAAGATGGTCAGAGACTGTGAGCGTGGTACGGGAGATGGTCAGACTGCGAACGTGGTACGGAAGATGGTCAGAGACTGTGAGCATGGTACGGGAGATGGTCAGACTGCGAACGTGGTACGGAAGATGGTCAGAGACTGTGAGCGTGGTACGGAAGATGGTCAGAGACTGTGAGCGTGGTACGGGAGATGGTCAGACTGCGAACGTGGTACGGAAGATGGTCAGAGACTGTGAGCGTGGTACGGGAGATGGTCAGAGACTGTGAGCATGGTACGGGAGATGGTCAGAGACTGTGAGCATGGTACGGGAGATGGTCAGAGACTGTGAGCATGGTACGGGAGATGGTCAGAGACTGTGAGCATGGTACGGAAGATGGTCAGAGACTGAACGTGGTACAGGAGATGGTCAGAGGCTGCAGACATAATACAAGAGATGATCAGAGACTACAGACCTACCACGGGAGATAGTCAGAGACTGCAAATATAGTATAGGAACTGGTCAGAGACTGCATACATGATACAAGAGAATCAGATTATGAACATGCTATATAGGAATTGTTGGAGACTGAGGACATGCTTCAGGTGAGTCCATGACTGAATATACATTACATGAGGCTCTGAGAAAACACTGCTATGACAGGGCGATAGGGAAACACAGACTGGTGTGGGCAGGTCTGCACCATAGCTGGCACCACAGTGAGAGTTCCAGCAGATATACGGACGAGCAGGACGTCCCTGTTCAGCCACACACTACTAGTACACAATGTGCTTTTTATTGTGGAGGAAAAGAGACCCATAACAGTCACTGCAACCACAATGCAGAAGGTTTCTATGGCAGGCTAGGAGAAGTGGAACGGGCTGCTGTGCTGCAACAGGGAGGCCGGCTCCATCCCACACACAGACGGCACAGTCTCTGAGGAGAGGAGCGGACATCACACCTCACACACAGTACAGCAGAAGCAGCGCACAGACACGCCCCCACCTCTCTGGTCATGTGATCGGAAGCCGCATCACACAGGAACCCACGTGTGACGACAGGGGGCTGCCATTGTGAGCCGGAAGTGTGTGTGATCGGTGCCCGGTGTACACCATGAGCTGTCAGATCACCTGTGTGTCCTGGGTACAGCGGGGGATAGCCAAGGAGGTGCCCGATAAGGTGGGATTTTCAGAATTACTCATTTCCATATACCAGATCTGATCCCATTGTGTCTGGATTGTCTTGCCGGACCACAGGAAACTTTTGGGCCAAGACAGAATTATTGAAAGTGGTTTTAAACCGAAGAGCAAACGTGTTACAGGCATACCTCGGTTTACGAATTTAGTTCGTTCTGTGGGACTTTTCGTATAGTGAAAATATTCATAAACCAAAATGCCGTTTCCCATAGGAATGCATTGAAAATGAATCTGTTCCGGAGGTCAGAAAAAAGTAAACGCTACTAAAATACTGCATGAGTTAATTTATCAAGTAATTTGGTATTTTAGTAGTGAGAACCATGTGTTAATGTTTCAGCTGTCATCGGGGTTCCCCACTGACAGCTGAATGTAAAAGAATTGCCGGCAATTGAAAAATTAATTAAAAAAATTATGTGGGCTCCCCCCTCCCATCCATACCAAGCCCTTCGGGTCTGTTATGGATTTTGATGGGCACTCCCATGCCAAAATTTAAAAAAAAATGGCGTGGGGTCCCCCCCAAAATCCGTACCAGACCTTTATCCGATCATGCAGCCCAGCAGGTCAGGAAAGGGGGGGTGAGATGAGCAAGCGCCCCCCCTTCTGAACCATACCATGCCACATGCCCTCAACATGGGGGGGCTGGGGGGCTCCCCGCCCAAAAGCACCTTGTCCCTATGTTGATGGGGGAAAAGGGCCTCTTCCCCTCAACCCTGGCTGGTGGTGTGGGGGTCTGCGGGTAGGGGGCTTATTGGAATCTGGAAGCCCAACAAGATCTCGGCCCTCCCTATGTGAATGAGTATGAGGTACATGGTCCCGCTACTCACTCTCAAAAAAACAAAAAATGTAGTGTGAAAAAAGACAGGACATGGTCTTTGACAAGTCCTTTGTTAAAAGAAACAACTAAAAGAATGTCTCCGTAGTAGATCCAATGTCAATCACAATGTTTTTTTTTTTTTTTTTTAAACTTGGCGTGGGGGTTCCCCTCAAAACTCATACCAGACCCAAGGGCTTGGTATGAATGGAAGGGGGACCCCACAACGTTGTTCTATTATGGTGCTGGTTTTTAAATGTATTACTGCTTTTTTTTTCTTCACTATAACACAGAGATTCAGCTGTCACTCCCCCCCTCCAAAAAGAACATTTCCTTTTAGTTTATTTCCCTGAGTTAAAAGAAACAATGTTTCCTTTTAGTTTCTTAAAAGAAACAAAGTTTCCATTAACTCCAGTGAAAGTGACAGCTAATTCTGTGAGCTATAGTGAAGAAAAAAATAAAAGCCGGCAATTGCATTTAAAAATCGGCGCCGACATACACTTCTTATTGCTAAAAAAAAGTTCGTAAACCGAGGCATTATTTTCAATGGATTTTCATTTGTTAACCACTTGCCTACCAGGCACTTATACCCCCTTATTTACCAGGCCAATTTTCAGCTTTCAGCGCTGCCGCATTTTGATTGACAATTGTGCGGTCATGCAACATTGTACCCATATGAAATTTTGATCATTTTTTGCTCACAAATAGAGCTTTCTTTTGGTGGTATTTAATTGCCACTGGGCACTTTAGTTTTTACGTTATAAATAAAAAAAGTGCAAAAAATTTGAAAAAAAAAAAAGTTTCTTTGTTTCTATTAGAAAATTTTTCAAACAGGTAATTTTTCTCCTTCACTGATGTGCGTTGATGAGGCAGCACTGATGGGCACTGATAGGCGGCACTGATAGGCAGCACTAAAGGGCACTGATAGGCAGTACTAATGAGGTGGCACGGATAGGCGGCACTGATAGGCAGCACGAATGAGGTGTCACGGATAGGCGGCACTAATATGCAGCACTGATAGGCGGCACTGATGATGGGTACTGATAGACGGCACTGACTGGCATCACTGCTGGGCACTGACTGGCGGCACTGACTGGCACAACCACTGGGCACTGACTGGTGGCACTGACTGGCAGCACTGCTGGGCTGCACTGGTGGGTGGCACTGGTGGGCAGCACTGGTGGGTGGGCACAGGGCACAGGTGGGTGGCACTGGTGGGCACAGGTGGGTGGCACTGCTGGGCACAGGTGGGTGGCACTGCTGGGCACAGGTGTGTGACACTGCAGAGTGGCACAGGTGGGTGCACTGCTGGGCACAGGTGGGTGATCTGCTGGGCACAGGTGGGCGGAGCTAGTGGGCGCACTGCTGGGCACAGGTGGGCGGAACTTGTGGGTGGCACTGCTGGGCACCGATCTCAGGGCACTGATCATCAGTGCCCTGATGATCGGTGCCGATCCCCGCTCTGACAACTGCCGGTTCTCGGCAGTACTTTCCTCACGATGTGACAGCGTGAGGAAAGTGCAGCCGAGAACCGGCACTTGCATTTCCCTGTGATCAGCGTGTCATTGGACACTGCTGATCACGTGGTAAAAGGCCGCTGTGATTGGCCTTTTACCACATCATGTTTACCACATCACGTGATCAGCTGTGTCCGTAGGACACAGCGATCATGGAGATCGCCGGGTGCGCGCCCCCTGGGGCGCGCAGGAGAGTGCGTTCTGGGAGGACGTCATATGACGTCCACCCAGAACTGGCTGGCCGCAGTGCAGCCGTCATTTGGCTATCTGCGGTCGGCAACTAGTTAACCAAGGCGTTCGTAATCCGTGGTACACCTGTATATTGCAGCTTACCAATTCTTAGGTGTGATGACGACCTTAGCTTCATTTTTTTTTATCTGTTTTTCAAAAGGACAAGCTCTCTTGGAAATGTATCTGTTAATAGTGTTGAGGCAAACCATTTACCACTGACAGGGTTCTTACAGTGATCAGCTTTTATTTATGTAAAACCTTTACTCTAGAAGAGAAATCCTGTTGCTGTAAATGCAGTGTTAGCTTGAGTTTGGTTTCAGTTTGTTAGTGTACCCTGGACTCTGAACGTTCCTATCGGCCTGCTCATCCAGTCAGTCACTTTCCAGAGCTTGTCATTTCACCCTCCGCAACATCTCCAAAATACACCCCTTCCTAGCCAATGACAGCACAAAGCTAATAATTCACTCCCTGGTTATTTCTCACCTTGACTACTGCAACTCCTTCCTCATTGGCTTACCTTTACATAGGCTATCCCCCCTCCAGTCCATCATGAATATTGCTGCCAGGCTCATCCACCTTACCAACTGCTTAGCCTGGGTTCACACTTGTGCGGTGCGGCATATTGCATGTGATACTCACAGGAACCGCACCACATTCCTGTGCAAATCACATGTGAATTCTGTGTGGTGCGATTTGAGCCATACATTTTGTATGGCTCAAATCGCACCGTATCTGCACCAAAAAGGTGCAGGACCCTTTTTTGTGGACCAATTTCGGGTGTTAACATACACACCCGCAGCGATTTGTATGAACAGGGTGCGACTATGATGCAGTGCGGAATTTGCACAGAAACCGCTGCGAATTCCGCACTGCATCAGTGTGAACCCAGACTCAGTGTCTGCTACCCCTCTCTGCCAATCCCTCCATTGGCTGCTACTCACCCAACAAATTCAGAATACTAACCATAACTTACAAAGCCATCTGAAACTCAGCCCCCAGCTACATCACTATAACCCAGTCTCAAAATACCGGCCTAATCATTCTCTTCGTTCATCGCAAGATCTCCTGCTCTCTGTTTCCCTTGTCACCACCTCCCATTATCACCTCCAGGACTTCTCCCAAGCCTTTCCAATCCTATGGAACTCCCTATCCCAATCTGTCCGACTATCTCCTTCTTTCTCCACTTTTAGGTGATCCCTGGAACCTTTCTCTTCAGAGAAGCCTATCCCACTTCCACTCAACAACTGTATCTCCACTTTCTCTATCAGCTCATCCCCCACAGTTATTACCCTTTGTATCACTTGACACTCCCCTTTTTAGATTGTAAGCGCTAACAAGCAGAGCCCTTTGACTCCTCCTGTATTGAATTGTATTGTAACTGCACAGTCTTCCCTAATTTTGTAATGCACACTAGCAGTTTTTTTTTTTTTAAGTTACTAGAAGTGGTTATCAGCATTTTGTATTCTGCTCTTAGAAAATCAAAGTTTTATCCTATCAGTCCATGCACACTATTTCGGGCTAGTAGCATTTTTTGAGCATCAGTGTCTAGGAGCAGAAAAAAAAAACATTTTGTAGAGTCTTTTGGTGCATTTTTCCAGCAGAAAAAAACAAACGCTGAATGCTCCTAAAATGCTACTAACAGCTTTTTTTTTACATGTACTGTAAAACGCTAATGCTCCTAAACACTCCAAAGTGCTACTAAAAAACGCTATTACCAGGGTTTTTTATCTGACATTTCTTGAGCTTACATGGAGTCTAATAGCGGAGGTGTGTTGTTGACTAGATCACCAGGTGAAAACAGAGGGGAAAAAAAAGAAAACTAATGCAGCCCCCACACCTAAGGATTGGTAAGCTGCACCATATTACATTTTTGCTGTGGGATTTAATGCTATTTTAAGTGGTGCAGTTATATTTCCCAGATCTGTTAATGGTGAAATTTATTCTGCTTCTATTTTGCCTTCACTTTTCCTCTTTTTTTTCCCCCTCATCAACATGCTAATGACATTTTTAATAAAATACCTTTTGGTTCTCATAACATGTTATTTTAGATCCAGTAATATAACCACTGGGTCACTGTGCTTCTTTATGCAGTGCAGGCAGTTCATGGCTAGTAGGAGGGGTTGGCATGGTGCTGTACATAACTTCCTGAAAACATCACAATACCATGCTTACCCTTTATTGCAGGGTTGACACAAAATTTTTCAGTTATCTATGTAGCTTCACCTAATGAGTGGAAATGTATTAGCATGAGCGGTCCGTACACAGGGACTAGGGAAAAAATACTAGGGAATTGGTGATGTCATGAGGGTGTGTCTGCTTGTTTTATTCGTGGTTTGCTTGGAGTGCAAGTGGAGAGAATACGAGAAAACAAATGTGTGTTCCTTTTCTTCTTCCATTACGTGTATATTAATTGGTTTATGTGAAAGTTCTAGCCTCTACAAACTAAACTATGGTGTGTGTGTGTGTATATATATATATATATATATATATATATATTGGAATTCACGCACCTTTTACTTTCTGACCCCCCTACCACATTTCTTGAGGTGCTAAAATGCCAGGGTAGTACAATTCCCCCTCCACCAAATGACCACTTTTTGGAAAGTAGACACCCCAAGGATTTTGCTGAGTGGCATGGTGAGTCCATGGAAGATTTTATTTTTTGCCCCATATTTTTGGTAAATGACAAATGTTTTTTTTTTTTTTTACACAAAGCTGTCACTTAAATGATATATTGCTCACACATGCTATGGATATATGTGAAATAACACCGCAAAACACATTATGCTACCTCTCCCGAGTATGGGGATGCCACATGTGAAAGTTTTTGGCAGCCTAGTCACATACAGGCTCCCAAAATCCAATGACCACCTTTAGACGTTCATATTTTCTCATGTCACTTCCTCTCTACCTATCAGTTTCGGTGGCCCTAAAATGCCAGGATAGTGTAACCCCCCCCCCCCCCCCCCCCCCCCCCCCCTCCCCAAATGACAACCTTTTTGAAAAGCAGACACCCCAAGGAATTTAATAAGAGGCATGGTGTGTATTGGTGGGGAAATGGGGAAACGTCCCTTCCCGCTGCTTGTAAAAGCCGCTAGGACTGCTTTTATATGAAAGCTGACCACCAGCTAAAAAAACGATACCAGGATGATGCCTGTAGCTGCAGGCATCATCTTGGTATAACCACTCGAAATCCAGTGAAGTATCAGTACATTGCTGGTCCTTGTTGGGCATATATGAAATGTTTTTTTTTTTTTTTCTTGAGAGTGTTATCACTGAAATGCATGAAGCGCATTGTCGTCTCATATCTATGCCTGGCCATGGCAACAGAGAACATGGGCATATGATGAATCGGGTCTCTGGACCAATATGAACACAATTAATTCTTTTTTTGTTATGCCCATGTTGAGGGTTAAGCCCAAAAAAGTTTTAAATTCAGAAACCGTGCGTCTGGCAAGAGCTGAATTTGGGTGGGTGGTGATGTATTATTGCGCGTATAAATTGCTTTGGTCCACAATCAATTGATACAAATCTTCAGTGAAACACAGTGGGGCTAAGCGCTAGTGCTGGCAGCTAACAGGGCTGTTCCTGCTAACACTGCGTTTTTGGGGACACTATACTAAGGGGGCACTAATATAGTTCTGTTCAAGATCAATATATCGATGCAGACAAACACTATACAAGTAATGGCGGTGATCAGCAACATATAGTGTGCGGGCAATCTAACGCTAGCTGACCCTGGCTGGGATGGGAGCTAACTGACTCTGACACTATCTGATGTCGCTAGTGGCAGTAGTACAGTGATCAGTAAAAAAAGTCTAGTGACACTGTACTAATGGCACTAGCTGGGTGACAGGGGTGATCAAAGGGTTAATAGGGGCAGTCAAAGGATTAAATGTGGTAATCTAACGTGTATGTAAGATGTAGTGCTTTTACTCAGTGTGGTGTCTTCTCTTCTCTCCCTAGACCTATGGGGGGGGGGGGGGGTCAGCGCACCCGGAAATAGAAAATAAACCTTATTATGTAATTTATTTTTACTATTAAAAAATATAAATAAATAAAAATTTCATCAGAGTAGTTCTGTGTTGCCATAGTAACAATGTACTACTCTAGGGGGGGTGATTACCATTTTTTTTTTTTTTCACTTTGCATTGCAGGTGCAATAAAGATCATCACACCTGTTTTGCAGTGCTTGCTTTGAACTGTCATGAATGGGTTAGGTTCATAACAGTTCAAAACACTAGTCATCTATGATTGGTTACAGCTAATCACATGGTACAGAGTGCTGTAGTTGGCTCATGTACCATGTGAGAGCTGTGGGCTAATCACAGCTTACCGGGAAGGGAAGCAAAGTGGTTATGAATCAGATTGATTTGTAACAGGCCATGCGATCACATGATCATTGGTCCCGATTACGGGGATCCGCTGTCGTGGGGGGTACACTAGCTGCAGTAACACAGCGGGGCTCTGTGTGCCCAAGTGGTTGCACAGCACCCCGCTGTGTATGTTGCTCTGCCTGTAGCTGCTGCCCTCCCACATTGTACTGCTGCAAGTGGTTAAAAGGACCTTTTGTTTGAAGCTCATGGGACAGGGTGACAATACAGAAATACAATTGTGAATACAGAAACAAGGGACAGTGTTGTCACCCTATAACAGGAAGAGCCCCGAGCAATAATCTTTGTAGCAGGCTCACTATTCTAATGTGTATGTAATATAAATATATATAATGTTTTTTT